TAAAATAAATTAAAAATTATATATATATATATATATTAAAAAATATCAACACTAACTAAAAATTGAGTTATTAAATAAAAATAAATGTACATATTAAAATCACATCTTGAACAAGAGGAGAAGCACCCCTCACGCCCTGTGAAATCCCACAATTAATATTCAATAAATCATCGCCTGAATACAAGATAAGACTGACTTAAATAAAGGTGCCTGGAACAACTTCCAATTGAAGGTTAAATGGAAATGCAGAAGTCTGCATAACATTTAGATAAACTAAATGAAAGAATTGGATTTTTAAATGAAGCTTTTGACTGAACTGTAGAAGATAGCAACTGTAAAGTTGGTTCCTCACTTCAAGAGTTCTTGATTCAATGCTCCTGCATCAACATCACGCTGGATATGTTGAATTACTTTTATTTTAACTATATATGAGTACTTTAAAAAAACAATAATATCATTTATATTTTTTATTACCAAACTCGCTAGGTCAACTTGGTAACATGTAAATCTCACCTCTATATTAATTCAGGTTTTAAAGCAAACTGGATGACAGTTGGATGATAATTGATATAGTGTGGTCTTATTGACCTAATAAATACACTTGAATTCAATCAATGTAGTCAGAATTTAATTTATTTTTTCATAAAAAATTGAAAATAATATTGATTTTATTGTTTTATATAAAAATTACTAGAACAGCAATATTTTAAACAAATCTGAATCAAACTAGTTTAACTGATTCAAAATATAACATAAGTCATGATTATAATTTAGTTTAATAAGCTTGTTTTTTAGAATTTATTCTTTTACCTGATAAAATAATAAAAATATTACTGTAGGAAAGATATTGTACAAAATTATTGAGAAAAAATATATTTATTCAATTAAAACTCCATCTAATCATTAATGCATATCTTTGTTATTTTAAAGAAAGTATGTTTTTTTTTATTGCATGTACTTTTAAAAATTAAAATTATCTCAAAAATAACTTTTAAAAAACATTTAAATAATATCTAAGTATTTTTTATATGATTGATGGAAAAGAATTGAAAAATAAATATTAAAATTCCCATAAAAATCTATAATATTATCTAAGAAACATGAAAAAAATTTTAAAATCATTTAAATTATTTTTTATAGTGATTTTTTATTAAAATACCTTTAAAAAAAGCTATACAAAAATCATTATAGTGGTTTTTTTCTCTGTGTTTTTTTCTTTTAATATATATATAATTTAGTTTGTTAATGCTAAATTTTTTTATTTGGTTATCAGATTTTCATGACACATATTCGGGGTTTGACGGGTTAACTTGGTTTGGCAATTTAACCCAGTTAACTCATCAATTTTTTTTTCTATTTAGTTATCAAACTTTCATGACACGAATTACAGATTTGAATGGTTAACATGATTTGAAAGATTAACCTAGTTAATTCATTTTTTTTTCATTAGTTTTTTTTGTATTGATTTTTTTTATTAATTTATTTAATTATTAAACTTTTAGGATATGATCTTATAGTTAGATTTATAACCAAAGCTATTGAATCTAGTATTATAGTTATACTCATTTAAACTTAAGTTATATAAATTTAATTAATATTATAAATATTATTATTGGATCAGACGTTGCGACGAAACACAAGACTTTAAGTATAATTTCATAAAAAAAATCTATCAATTTCTTTATATATATATAAACAAATCAATCCGCAGCACCATGTAACTAGTGAATAGCTAAACAACTGTAATCATCAAATATTTGCAATTTTATTTTAATTAATTCTTACACGTGCTGAATTCATGTACCATTGACAACCAGCCCCTGCGAGCATTTAAACATCGATAGGATCGATATAGACCGGATCTTTACAGGTTCAAGGCTTGATTCATTTAGTTTTTTTTTTTTCTAAGATTAATTCTTTTTATTAGATCCTTTGAGTTTTCACGTGATCCTACTTAATTAAAGGGAAATTTGAATGAACAAAGACATCCTGCTTGTCTCAACAACAGCGGTAAATCTTCAAATATGGCAACCTCAAAGTAGTTGGCAAGCATATGAACTTTATATAACTATTCATAGAATCTCGTCCGTTTAAAATTGAATCCAGTTAATTTCACGTATAGAATCTGCATTTGGAAAATTTGTAACAACACAGGTAAATGCAAATAAAAATAATTAAGCTGCAATTAAAAGAAAGCAAAAATAGAGAATGAAATTATATATATATATATATATAAAATTAAAACATTTGAGGTGTTTATATGAATAATAAACCAACTCAACTTTATTTTTTTTCACTCGAGTCTTTTTTTTTCCCATTCAAGTCTTGATTTTTAATTGTGTTCTTTTGCTTTTCATTTAACAAATCTTAATTTTTTATTTTTTATATGTGTTTTTTTTATTGGATCCTTTTACTTTCCATTTAATAATTGTAATGCACTTTTATAAAAATTAATACCCAATTGTACAAAACATGAAATGATATTTTGAATCATGAACATCATGAGATAAAATAAAAATTAAAAAGAAATGATAAAAATACAACATAGAAAAAAATACATAATTCATTATTGGTTTACCCACGATATTTTCCTATTCTTAATTTCTTTATCGCTTTACTTTTTTTATTCATAGTTTAATTGTCTCGTATTAATTTAATTTAGAATTAAATTTGATATTTTATTTCAATTGAATTTGTATAGAGCTTAATTTTTAATATTGAGTTAATATTTGATTTGATAATAAAAAATTTAATTTAATTTATTCATATGAATTAAAAATTTTAGGATTTAATTTCAAACTAGAAAAAATATTAATTTTTTTATATATATAAGAAATGACATCTTTATCTCAATTTTTTTTATCTAATTCTTAGTTATAATTAATAAATTTGTTATTATTTATTAATACATATAATTTTTGATTACTTTATTGAAATAACATGTATTTTTTTATTTTATTAAAAAACAACAATTAACCATTAAAAACTAATTATGTCATCCTCTTCAACTATATATGTATGTATGTATAAAACATCTAAAACGAGAACAATTTTTATAGAAGAAAATGCATCCATCATGTTACCATTAGATAAACACATTCACGTGTTTATATAAACACTACCGAACTCTTACCTAAGCAGTCTTCTCATTCGTTAAAAAATATTATATATTCTTTCTCCTCAAGCTTTGTTTTGCGGACAGCCTCAACACGATCAAACAACAAGATTCTTCTCTTCCGTCATCAATGCCAAGTCTTTTAATATATATATATATATATATATATATAGCTTTTCATTCCTTAATTTATCATTACTTTAAAAATACCATATTTTTTTAAAAAATATTATAGCGAACCCTTCAATTTTTAAACGTCATCATAGTCAAATATCATGATTCGCTATTGTCGTCCAAACTCCCCTTCTAAACATTACCAAACTCTTTTTATTTCTGTGGGTTTAAGATAATAATGCAAAATATTTTTTTATTTAAAAATATATCAAAATAAATTTTTTATATCAATATATTAAAATACTATAATACCAAGTAATGGAGCTTCCAAGTAATCCTAAGAGTCAAAAATCGCTGTTCGCCGTTGATCATTGACTACCTCACATGCACATGGCCATGATACACCGCCCATATTTTATTTGTCATGTACCTTCACATGCGGTGACGGTTGCAAGAAAACAAAACTTCCATACCCCAATAATGAGAAACATATTATCCGCCGCTCGTTAAAAATTTCAATGGCAAGGCACATATAAAAAAATAAAAAATAAAAAAAGCTATAAATCTATCCTCAGTCTCTGGATTAGGAGCTTGCAAGGTTGTGTAATTAGCTAGAATATCAATACTATATGACACTTTAAATGCATTAACTATATGGTCATGTATCAAAGCGTATTTACTTACATCCACGGAAGGAAAAGGGAGAATTCGAACATATGAGATAATTCTTTTTATAAATTTTGCAGTGTATTTAAATCTTAATCAATTTGACCAGGATATAAATTTATTTTAGCAGGGGTACAAAAATCATGTATTTAACATTAAAAAACAAGTTCATTAAATTTAATTTATGCTTTGAAAGTATTTAAGAAATTGATTGTTTTTATGTTTTAAAAGCGTTTTTAAAAAAATAATGATTTTTTAAATTTATCTTGGTATTTCCTTTAAATTATTTTTTATATTTTTAGATCGTTTTGATATGTTGATATTAAAAATAAATTTTAAAAAATAAAAAAATATATTATTTTAATATATTTTAAAATTAAAAATATTTTAAAAAATAATTACTATTATAATACATAAATAAGCTATAAATATTACAAAATGGGAGTCTCAACATCATGCTAAAGCATAAAAAAAGCTATGGTTAGATTAACAAATTTAAAAGTTTGGTAACTAATTTGTTAGCCACTACATCAGTTGGGGACTTTCATAACAATCCAAAAGATGACCCAAAAAGAGAGAAATTTTAAGAAAATATCATGACCAAGTGTGTGAATGAGATAGCATTTTAATCAGAGTTTTTACAGATTTTGAATTTTTTTATTTTAAATTATTTTTTAAAAATTATTTTAACATATTAAGATAAAAAATAAATTTTAAAAAATAAAAAAATATTAATTTAATACATTTTTTAAATAAAAATTACTTTACAAAAATAACCTTTACCGCAGACATACAAACACCGGTATGAAACTGGTCCCAGCTGTCCAAAGGATCTTCCAAGAAAATATTATTGCTAGATTAGATTGCATTGACCATTCTACACCTTCGCAGGGGATTCTTATTACACACACATTCACACTCCTTTAACTGCCTCCAAGGTCTCCCCTCGTCTGTCTTTGTCCCCTCTTGTCCAAAACCATTTCGCTTGATACCATGTTCTAGCTTGTGGTGGTTCCATCGCAAAGCCAAAGCCCACCAACGATCAATTCTTGAACCAGTCCCAACAATATGTGAATATTTCCATCACTTATTGAATTTATCTATAATGGGTTGTTGTGTTAGCACCACCACTGAACCTTCAAAGCTGAAAAAACAGCAACATTCTCAAGTAGGATCTGAATCTTTGAAGCAAACCAAGTCGCCACCTCCTTCTCTTTACCAAGAAGAAACTGTAAAAGAAGTCCTCTCTGAAATCCCAAAACCACCACAGAATCCCATCAAGAATCCACACCAGGAAACTGACCTGCAACAACAAGAAGTCCCCAAGAAGGAAAGAATCCACATTGACCCAGCATTTCTCGATGAGATCAAGATTCAAGAGAACAAGTTCCAGAACCATGAAAAAATTTCGGAAGAAGAAGTTCATCATCAAGTTCAGATCTTTGAACAAGATGAATCTGAAGTTTGCAGCTTGAGCTATAGTGAAAGCATCTCAACAACAACAACGAACAACAATGACAGAAGAGACTATTATGATGATGAGAATGAGGTTAAGCAAAGAGTGTCTAGATCTCCATTGCCACCAAGAAACCGGGTTTCAGGTGAATTGGGTCCAAGAAAGGACCGGGTCGTGGGCAGGTCACCCACCCGGAGAACAACAGAACAGTCACCAAGCAAGAGAAATGGTGCAATGAAAGGTGGGCCAGTGAGGTTGGTTCAGGGCCGGGAAACGGGTTCCGGCCAAGTGGGAGTTAGGAGGGGTTTGAGACCCGACCCGAACAGGAGAGACCCGGGTGAAGGGTCAGCGAGAAGGTCCAGGTCACCGGCTACAAATAGATCTTTAATGGGTCGGAGCCCATCCACTAGAAGGACAAACCGGTCCCCAGGCCGGGTCAGGAAGGATCCCAACGAGGGTGGCGGTAGTAGCGGTAACAAGGATAATGGCATGGAGGCCAAGTGGCCAAGCACTAATAATAGTGATGATAATGGGACTCAAAACGAGTCACTAGAAAACCCTCTGGTGTCACTTGAGTGCTTTATCTTTCTTTAAACGGCGGATATTCCGGTGCAATATTCCAGCCGGTGTTAGTGTTTACTGATTACTTGGCTCACTTTTTGTGACCATTTTTTTTTAATTTTTCTGGTTTTCTTCTGTTTTTAGTGAATTATAGTAATGGTCAGTTTGGAGACGCGGACAAATGAGGAGATATTGTGTTGGGGCTACTCAGATATGCAAAGCCATTGAATTGACCATTGATCCCCTTTCTTGCCTTGTTTGCCAAGTTCTCTGTCCTTATGATTAGTCTATTTGCTTGCCTGCCATGCAAAAGATTTGCCTACCGAAGCAATCTGATTTTCTCTCTTATAATGTAGAAAAGACTGAAAAGATTTAATGAAATTACTTTGCTTGTTAATTGTGAAACCAGATTGCTTTCTGCTTCTGGAGTTCACCTTTGTTTTTAGAACACAGATGGGCCCTCTCCCTTCACATAAGTAAATGAACTTTCCGAGAAAAACACCTCACATTTCTTATATTCCTGAATATTAACATATCATAATAATTTTAAAATATAAAAAAATAAATAAAATATTTTTAAATAGTTAAAACAAAAGGTGTAAGTTTGTGTAGTAAAGATTGCTTCTTTTTTTTTTTAAGGAATTTTTACTTGAAAATGTATTTAAATAAATTTTTTTGGTTGTTTTTTTTTAAGTATGGCTTAAAAATATGTTTAAATAGTAATTTTTAAAATTTTTTTTAACATTATTACATCAAAATAAAACAAATAAAAAACTGATTTTTTTTTTAAATAAAGTTTTAAAAAAACACATTCAACTGCACTCGCAAATACGTTTTCTTGGCAAGGAGAATCAATAAAGAAAAAAGATTCCCATCTCAATTCCAAACAGTACTCGACTAGACATGAATTTCACTAGCAAAGAAGCTCTTGAAGTAAGTTATCCAACTAAATAATTTCATTTACTGTGAAAATGGGTTTTCCATCTGCTTCGTTGAGCGAGCCAGAAGTAGTAGTTTCTGTTTTCTTGGCAGAAAACATAGTCGAGTCCCATAAAAGCCTTCGTTGGTTTGCAAGGAGGGTGGAGCGGCGTCGTGAATTCATGGCATGAAATTATTTACTGCAGCCCTTCACAAGTCGAGCCACATTCACTATAAAACATTTATTGTTATATGCATCTCCTCCCGCCATTCATTTCACCTTAAAAAAGGGTTGATTGTAAGAAAAAAAATTATGAATGCTTTTGTCTCGCAATATTTGTGTGTTCTTACAAGTTACAAGCACCATAAATAATGCCCAACGTAGCTTGAGATTATAAACTTGGATTCAATTATGAATCTCTGTCTCTGATTCAAATTTAAAAATGAGGTGAGTTTATATTATTTTTTTTATTTTTTTTTCTTGAAAGTATATTAAACTAATTTTTTTTTATTTTTTTTATATTAGCATGTTAAAATGATTAATAAATATAAAAAATTTATTTTTAAATAATAAATTAATAACTGCCAGTTATAAGGAATGACAGCCTATGGTGGTTATGTGTGGTGGAGTCGAAAGAATTTAAAGAAGAAAACAGGACGAGTTAAAAAAGTAAGTTTAATACCCTATGTAACATTCTTTGACTTATAAACTCAAAATATACTATATATAAATTCATATATATATATTATTGTTTAGAAATTTTAGCAGAGTGTTCATTGTATTTTTTAAATATTAAATTATCAATTCAATTATTTCTCAACATATAACATTGATAACAATATTTATTTTATTATTTGAATTTTAAAAATACAAGCATATTTTAATATTTCTATTCTATTTTCTATACGATACTATGATAAAAATTAATAAATTTATAAAATATTTATACAACCAATTATAATTTAACTTAATAATAATAATAATATTATAAATTATATCATACACATCGCATCGCATCTTGTCATAAATAATTTTGGTACACTCATAAAACTAATGGTATATGATCAATTACTTAAGAAGCTAATTATTTAGAGGCGGTCTATTGTTTTAAAATAGTTTACAAACATATTTTTTTAATTTTTTATAATTATTGGTATTATCACATCCAAATCATTAAAAAAAATACTAAAAAAACATGAATAGAATGCTTTTTTAAAACAAAAATCACTTTTTAAAAAAATATTAAAAAAAATAAAAGCATGACAAACACCACTTAATATTATTATTCATAGAACGCAATAAGTGTCACAAAAAGAGGGAGATTTGCACTGATTTAAATCTTGTACATACATGCGTGCTGCATTTTCATTAAATACGATGTAACTTTTTCTGTCCAGTGGAAGCGTGGGGGAGTGGGAAGAAACAACTGCTGGAAAACACAAGGCAGCCATGAAATTGTCTTGCATGATAGAAATTGAAATTTTAAGGTGGGAAGGAGGAGGGGAACCCCACCTTTTCTAGCCGTTTGAGGATTGAGAGGATACGGACAGCATCATCAGTACTGGTCCAAGTTTTTAATATTATGCCGTTCATGGCGTTTGGTGGTGGCTTGTGTGCAGAAAGCAAGCAATGCGCAAATGTATCTGTTATTTTGGACTCTTCCTCTTGGTTCTCTACTTACTTTTAAAGGTATTTTTTTATTATTTAAAAATATTAATATTTTTTTATTTTTAAAAAATTAATTTTAATATCAAAATAATCTTAAAAACATTAATTTTAATTAAAAACCAGGTTAAAATGAACTTCCAGACAAAGTACAAATCACGATCGCACTTCACATTAAAGAAAGGTCCCTGTGGCTCAAGGCTGACAATTAAAAATTAAAATGAGAACCAAAAGAAAGGCTAGCTTTATCAATCCTTGAAATCACTGTGTGACTTTGGTGTAAAAGCCACTTTTGGCCTGTCTCTAGAAAAAGACTGAGAGAAAAAGAGAGTGAGGTGGGGCAAAGCAAGAAACGGGCTATTTTTTTGTTTGAAAATATATTAAAATAATAATGTATATTTTTTTATTTTTTAAAAATTATTTCTGATTTTAATACATTAAAATAGTATAAAAATATTAAAAAAAAACATACTTGCACGTATCTTATATCAATCCATGGATACATTATAAATGCATTGACCCCTTGCTTCTAACATCGACACGCTCATGCATTAAAATCAAACTTCACTCTGCTTTTTCAATGTCCATTAATCTTCTGATTTAGGAGACAGGCCCATAAGGTAAGGGCCCATCTAATGAGGATTTATTGTGATGGGCTTTGTGTTACTTTCCGAGCCTGCCATAACACTGAAAGTATTGTTGAAATGAGCTTACCATAAAGTTGAGATAGGACGAGATCTTAGCCCAAAAACATCACACTTTTAGCTGGGCTTTCAAGTCTGTTTGGGGACTTAAAAAAAGGAATTTGAAACTTAATTCAGATTAAACTTTTAATTGCAGCAGATAAAATATTGATATAGCAAAATCTGGTTGAATGGGTGAAGTTTTAGAGATTGCAGCAGATAAAAAAACAAAAAACATCTAAATAATATTTCATATTTTATGGGTTATTGAAAGTTAAAAAGATAATAAATATAATAAAATAATGTTTAAGATCTATTTAAAAAATTTTAATAAGAAAAACAATTTGAATTGAATTTTCATGAAAAATTTATTATTAGCATAACTATTTTCATATCAAATAAATAATAATTGAAAAATATTAAAATTCAAATGAAAAATTATAACAATATTTAAAAATCATTTCAAAACTAAATTGCAAGTAAATCTGTTAATTGTTGTGGAGGGCACCCCACTCCCCCTCAAAATAGTAATAATAATAATAAATAAATAAATTAACGTTTAGCATCTGACCCCAGTAGCCAGGCCTTGCTTATGACAAGTCATCCATTGCCTAAATAAAAACTTTTGCACGCCCCAGCGAGCCTACAACCTCATTCAGAGATCAAGACATCCTCTGCTACGAGTGCAGGAAATGGTTTCCATCACTGGAACATCTAAAAGCACAAGTCACATCTATCTGACAAGTTATATGATCTCTGCATCATTATCTAGGGTTTATAGCCTGGTGGGTTTCCTATTCCCGCCAAGACAACGCAGGCGGAGTCTTGAATCATGTCAACTCCCAGATCGGTGATCGGTCTTCACAAGTATGAAGAAGAGACAAGGTTTCCCTCAAGTCATTAATCATCTTGCCATTGCATCAGCTTTGAATCATCTTCTTAAAACTGAATCCTTTAACATGTACAAGGTATGGCCCTTAAACTTCTTTTGTACTAAAGAACAATTACATTCATCAATATTTCTTTTTTACAAGTGCAACGATCCTTTTGAGAGGAAAAACAATCCATCTTCGGGGATCCAATTCCACCTAGAAAACTTTCACATACTAATATAAAGCAAAGATGAAACTGGGGATGGAAGCTTCTCTGCTGATTCGAAAATGAGTACATGCCAATGCTGCGAACTCATTCAAAATCTAATGTCAAACATACGTGACATAAAGAGAAGCCTTCACTCCAGATAGGATGGTCTGTGAGCAATCGAACTTTTGCCAAGTTTGTGATCGAATGTATTGGGTTTTACGATGGCATTTTCATGTCTAGTTTTGTTGTGTTGAGATCGAACTCGAGCTTGAGTTTGTGTCAGGGTTGGCAGTGGGATTCGGTAATTGATTGATATGTTGTTGATTGTGAGGGTAGAAGGGGCGTTCGGGAGGACAAGGCACTGGTGCTGGAACCGCTATGAAGGTGGGAATGTTATCTCCAGGCATCAACACAGAAACTCCATTTGCATATACAGTCATCTGAACAAATTCAAAATGAATGGATGTCAAATTCCATCAACCTCTCAAAACTTGCGAAAAACAAACAAACTGCATTTGGAAAGGACTTTGCAGTTCAGTAAATTAGATTAATCCAGGGTAATTGTAAGTGTATCACAAGTCATAAGCTAGTATATGGACGTATAATGGAGTTTCAACAAAATCAGCATTCCTCTCCTAGCAGTGGTTGTCTGTGTTACCATCAAGCATAGTTTCCATTCATGC